GTGGTGCTGGTAAGAGCAGACACCACTTGCCTACAGTATAAAGGTAATACAGCTAGAGCCTAGAAGGTAAATTGAAAAAACACAGCGACAGCCCTGAAAGCAGAGAGAACGACCAGCGAGGGAAAGTGGAAGACCAGCAAGTAGGAATAAAACCCAGAAAGCCTGAGATATAGAAAACAAAGGTAAAAGACTAAAAGGTAAACGAAAACAACACAGCTAGGAGTGAAATCTCAGCAAGAAGACAAGAAGCAAGAAGACAAGAAGGAAAACGGTTATATATAGAGAACAGTGACATAATAATAATAAATTATAATATAATAATAAATGTAATAAATTAATAATACAATTACACAAGGCTAGGAAACGATCAGCAAGAGTTAAGAGGCTACCTCTCTCCCTCCAGAAGGGTTTCGACGGGAAACGAAGACAGAAGAGAACAGCATGTCTACAAAATGAAGGTGACGGCACCCTCTTGCACCCGTAGCGTATCTCTGTTGAATGCGCGGATTTCGAGGAGGAGGTGTCCTTCTGGCTGGTCTTCGTTTAGCGGAGGGGGCAAGAGGACAGGGGTGGTAATCGAGATTTTCTTCGCGATGAATTCGGCCCACCCGCCCAGGCCCCAAAAAGTCCAGTGCAGAATCCCGGCTGGATCTTCCAGCGACTCGGCACCGTTGCCCACCGGATTGAATCTCGACTGGAGGTAGCGCTTGAGCAACGCAAAGTTGTTTGCGTCGAAGCTGCGAATGGCACAGATGAGCTCTGTGAACGAGAGCTTACCTCCTCCGCCCGCGACATCCGGCGGGCTAGCGAGAGTCAGATCATTCAGTCGGCACCACAAGGCCAAGAACGCAGCTCGCCGAAAGTCGAACGACAGATTCTCATGCAATGCAATCAGCTCTTTGAGGTGGTCCGTTTCAGCCGGCGACAGATTGCAAATGTTCTCCGAGTGGACGAAAGAGAGGAGGTTCTCCGCATACAGTTTCGCAAAGTTCCAGTGCGAAAACGTTTTGACGACTACCTCCTTCGGCACGATCGAGCACCCGCTTAATATCCCCGGCGAGTGGAATCTACAAACTGCATGCTGCCGCAAGAATTGGACCAGGGACTTGAGAGAGAAATACTCCACCGGGAGGGAATCGAAGAGGGAAATGCGTTGCGGCAGACTGTCCTTGGAAGAAGCTGTAGGGAAGGAGAAGCAGCTGAAATCCGAAAGGAGACCTGCTTCTACGTCCATGACACAAAACTCAAGCAGCTCATCGCTTGGCACTAACGGCTTCCTCATATCAAAGTCGCTTACCTCCAGAACGTCTATGTCGCTCCTAAACTTCGACAAACCATCCCGTAAAAGAGAAGATCGGCTGCGCATGCCTTTAACACAAAGAAGGCCAGCCAAGTCGGAGAAGCTCGTAAACGAGCTGCATTCTTCGTTCAGTGGGACTGAAGGGACCGAAGACATCGGTGCAACAAAACCCACCCGGGCGAGTATAATCCGGTTGCTAGATATCAAACCCAAAAGCGCGCGATATTGATTTCAAAATTCAAACTCGCATCAGAATGCATCACGGCATCATCAGTCTCGAGCCTGACCGCTTTCCCGAGAAAATCGCATATTAGGTATACGAATGAAGAGGTGACAGCAGACAGAGTAGAGTGGCAGTGCAGCTGAAAATGACCCTGGAGGAAGCTCCTTCATTTACCTGCAAGGCATTCAACACCCCCCTCTC